AAGATTACTTAGAGTGTGGCAAATCTCCTAACCATCCTTATTCCCTCATTCCAGCCCTCAAATTCCCCTTTTTACCTTACTCACATTCCTGGCGCATTACTGTGTGAGTAACCTTACCACCTCTGCGATGAAGCCCAAGTGCAAAAGCCGCTTTGAAATGCACTGCACAAGATGACACTTCTCCATGCACCAGAGTAGTCTCACCCTTCCCAGTGCTCACCGTAGGCCCAGGTGCTCTCCTGTCTGTTTCCTGGATGTTCCATGCTCGTGTTTGCTGCCACACATTGGCCCATGCTGGAAGTTCCTGCCAGACGATGTCCATAACCTATTTCCCCACAAAGCCTTCCTTCTGCTACAGCCTTGTGGTGTCCAAGTCCCTGGATTCGTGTATTACTTGGGGCCTGTGCCACTCATTTTTGTGTGGTGGTATAACATAAAAAGTCACTAAAATACATTTATACTCACTAATTCATTCAAGGGTTGGTTAGTTGGTTGGTTGGTTGGTTGGTTGGTTGATTGGTTTGTGGGACTGAGCCCAAAGCCTTTCCATTGAGCTACATCCCCAGCCCCTTCATTTATTTTTTATTTCAAGATAGGGTCTCACCAGGTCACTAAATTGCCCAGGCTGGGGGCTGGGGATTTAGCTCAGCGGCAAAGCACCTGCCTGGCAAGCGCAAAGTTGTGAGTTCGGTTCCTGGTACCGGAGAAAAACCAAAAATAAAAATAAAAATAAAAATAAATTGCCCAGGCTGGCCTCAGCCTCCCAGAGTGCTGGAATTTCAGGCATGTGCAAACACATCCAACTGTTCAGTTCTATTTAAATGTAGTCCCCCCTCATCTCCAGGATAGTTTTAAGTGCATAACATAATGCCGCCTAATAATAGATTTTAAATGAATAATAGATGTCATTTTTTTTGTGAGCAAAGGTATAAAGTGTAAAATGGTGATAAACCACTTTGCTATATACACATTTTACCAAGCTCTAGGTATATAGGCATAAAAGTGATTCAAGTGAAATATTTATTCTTTTAATAAAGAAAATTTATTGTGGTTTACTATGTGCTAGCGATGTGCTATGCACTGATTCAAAAATAAGTCACAATCTCAAGGAAATCATTCCATAATGGGGAAGACAGGCATAGAAGCTCATAGTTATAATTTGGCCCCCATAGAGATGGATATATCCATGGGTGCATGGAAAAAAAGACTTCCTGGAAGAGGTGATTCCTGTGGCAATTCTCAATGAGATGCACGATAAATACATGGGGAGAAAGAGCAGTGGGGGCAGAGGACATTGCATGAGCAAAGAGGCAGAGGTGAGGAACAGCATGGCTTGTGGGGAGGGGAGGCCACATCATGAAGATAAAAGTGTGTCCTGTTAAAGAACTGGAATGGAGATTCCTCTAAAAACTAAAGCTAGGGATTTCATTTGACCCAGCTATTCCACTTCAAGGTATTTTCCAAAAGAGGTAAAGATAGCATTTTACAGTGATGTATGCATACCTATGTTTGTAGCAGCAAAACTTATGATAAGTAAATCTTGGAAGCATCTTATATGCCTGTCAACAGATGAATGGATAAAGAAAATGTGATATTTACACACAATAGAGCACCACTCTGCCATAAGGCAGTATAAATGTGAGTCATTTGTGGGAAACTGGGTTCACTTTGAGATCATGATAAGTAAAGTAAACCAGAAACACAAACTTAAGCATCATTCATTTTCTCTCATGAGACACCCACAGTATAAATTTAAAGAGCAAGGAATTAGAACTTGATCCTGTGGGTGGCACAGGTGATATCCATTCAGAGGAGCCTTCAGAGGGCTTTATGTGGAAAAAGGGCATGATCAAATTTGTACATTGGAGTACTTGTGTAGCCTAAGAGATGAATTTAAAAGAATCAGAATTGGCTGCAGGGAAACCAGTTGTGAACCATGACAGTAGGCAAGTTAAGAGATTGGATTGAACAAAGGCAGTGAGATCTGGATGAGAGAAGATAAGGTTAAGCATAACTTACAGAGGAGAGTTTGCAGCACACAGATACAACAGCTGCGGTAGATCAGGTGAGAGAGTGGGAAGAGCCAAAGGTAACATAACCCTCACTTTTGGCCTGGCAGATTGAGTACAGCTAAGACAAAGCCAGAGGTCCTGACTTATAGAAGGCATGGTGAGTTCAGGGTGTGCTGCGTGGAATTTGAAGTGCCTCCAGCATCTTGTTCAACATGGTCCCCTTATATGGCCAGAGTGCCTCCTTCTTGGCACTATTCTTTCAGGGACTTCACTGCAAACCATTGTCAACGCCGTTTATTTTATCAGCTACGTACAGCAGTCATGCCTTTTGTGGGCACAACTCTTCCAGAAGAAAAAAAACGAAAAACAGGAACCACTAAGTGCTACACATTAGTATCTAATTTTCATAAAAGAAATAAAAATATCCTTTCTAAAGAGAAAACCACCCCCTAGTCACTAGACTTAAGTCATAATGAATTTTGACTCTTTCCAAAATCAAGCCATCCCTTAAGGATGTAGACCTTGGGCTCCTAAGGCTGTGGAAAAGAGTATGCCTAAGGCTGTGGAAAAGAGTATGCCTAAGACTCAAAGGATTTCCAAGAGAACAGCTGCAGAAAGTTAGCAGTGTGTAGGCCCCTGATGTCACAATGCCAAGGACTGCAGTCAGCCTGATGTCTTTGTTCTGATGTGATGGTGAAGAAATGCATTGTATTTCTCTGTTCCAAAGAATCCTCCAAGAAAAAGGTCTCTTCTTTCTCTCCTGACATATGCAAAAGACTACACCTTTCTTGTGTTATCTCAATTTCTTCTTTGAGGATATTGTGAACAAACTAAGTTTTGTGCTTTATCCACCATGCTGACCTCCAGATGTTGGGCCCAGCTCTGGGCAGGAAGATGGCAGTAAAAATCTGAACTGTAATATCTCTCTATATAAAGTAACTGTAGGGGCCAGCAAGGTAGCCAGTCATGAAAAGGAGAGTGTTGTAAATAAGAAGTGTATCCAGTGAAGCTAAATTCCCCAGGCTGTCTGCTATACTTATTAGCCCTGTGTTTAGAGTGGTAGCACAAGTACACTCTGGCCCTGCTAAGAGGGGCTGTCCTCCATCACACAAATGATCCCAAAGGCCAGCAGAGCTTAGTTAAAACCAAAATTAAAAATAGGGTTTAGGCAACCCAGAAAATAAATGAGGGGGCACAATGACCCTACTGTCATCATTTCATGAACCCAACTAACACACTGAGTCTCCACCCAACCACTAATCCTCATATGACTTTTGTCACACTAAACAATACTTACTCCCTTTTGTACCATAAGAAATGGTCACCAAATTAACTGGGAGCTGTCCTTGGCATAGACACAATAGCATGTGCAACAAAAATCTATCTCCTTATTTGCATCAGGTCAATTCCTGTTACTTAGTTTCTGTCAAACGTGCCTATGCTACAGTTATTCTCAGCACTTACCTAGGGCATGAAGACAGGAGAGAAGATGCCTGCAGCTATGGGCTTACCTCCTCCCTGGGTGGTCCAGGCCTCCACTAGGAAGTGTGGGAGCCAGGCGAAAGTGGCCATTAGTGTCTCCATGTCCCTAGGTGATGGCAAGAGCTGCTGAGTGTCATCAGCATCAACTGGATCATGCAGCTCCCTTTTAGACCATTTAGATAAAGCCCTGAAGGATCATCTGACACTTAAGGAAGAACTTATCAAACAAGGCCACAACCTCTTGGCTGATGAATTAAACAGTCTTGTTTCTTCCTTTGGATATTAAATTCTTATGTGTTGTTACCAAGCATCATACCAGAAGTGGAAATATGAAGAATGCCTCAATTATAGTCAAGTCCAACCCCTCATAGCAGCCCTGGGAGCTACTGCTTCACTGGACAACCTGAGTCCACCCCACTCCATGTAAGGGTACTTGGGGCAGCATTATGACACAGTGGCCAAACACGTAGACTTTGGAGTCCAGCAACTCCCAGCTCCACCTCTTACAGGGCCCTGGACATGTTCCTTCAATATCTTTACATCTCCATCCCTTCATGTGAAAGTGAAAATAAAATCATTTATATTGTGGAATAGTTTGAACATTAACTGAGATAATATAAAATACTTGGCACGGTGATTGGACCAGAGAAAAGCACTCCATAAATATCAGCCATTGCTAGTATTATTAGCCTTAGTATATGCCACAATCTATGGGGGACAAAAGGTGGGCTAAGAGTGAGGCACATGTCCTCCTCCCTCATTCTGTGAAGGTTGGGGGACAACCAGAAAAAGCGGGCAGGTGCCCCAAATGGTGAGCTTCCCAAACTGAGCAATGCGGCTTTCAGTTTGGACTCAAAGCTAGTAGGAGATTGGAGCACATACAACCACACGTGACAGCCTGCAGCGCAGTATTCGCAAGCCAGGTGGCTTCCAAAAATGACCAGCATCTCTTTGAATTTTCCTTCTAAGCACTAGATTTCCTTAAAGCTACTACAAATTCAACTACTAGAAATTCTATTATTTGTTTTTCTTCTAAGAAACTAGTATACCTTTGCCTCCTTTTACCCTCCTTTTTGCCTGATACTCTTGTTACCAACTGCATCACATTCCAGCCACCAGTTCTTCCCCCAAAAAACAAAACTATACACCCTCATACTGCTGCAAGAGAGCAGCTCCTGCTGTGGAATGCCTCCAAGCTGCTAATCACCATCACCCCATCTGATTGGTCCCTCTTTGTTATCTCACAACTGCCTCTAAGCTTTCTGCTTCCAATTGGGTCAGCGATGGTTTTATTTAACTTGTTTTGGCATTGCTGTCTTATTTCCGTTTTGATTTGTTCTCATTTAATCCTGAAACAGCACAACATAGAACTTTGTGGCTCAAATTCCCTTCTGAACTTACCATTTCATCCAGGTTGTCTGTGTTAGTAAGTGGTGGGTGCCTCTTCGGCTTGAGCAACATTCATTCAGCCTCTTCTTTTCTTGTGCATCTCTTCTGCTTTGCCAGGTCCAGCTGGGAACTGCCTGACTTGAGGGAAGGGAGAGTAAAAGCCATCAGTGACTCAGATGGGGTGAGCTACCCTTGGTATGGGAACACCACAGAAACTGTGACCCTGGTTGGCCCCACCAACAAGATCTCCAGGTTCTCCGTCAGCATGAATGACAATTTCTACCCTAGTGTGACATGGGCAGTGCCAGTGAGTGACAGCAATGTGCCACTGCTCACAAGAATCAAGAGGGACCAAAGTTTTACTACCTGGCTGGTGGCCATGAACACCACCACGAAGGAGAAGATCATTCTGCAGACCATCAAGTGGAGGATGAGGGTGGACATTGAAGTGGACCCTCTCCAGCTGTTGGGGCAGCGGGCCCGGCTGGTGGGCAGGACTCAGCAGGAGCAGCCCCGGATCCTGAGCCGGATGGAGCCCATTCCCCCAAACGCACTAGTGAAGCCCAATGCCAACGATGCCCAAGTCCTCATGTGGAGGCCCAAGCGGGGGCCACCTCTGGTTGTGATCCCTCCTAAGTAGAAGCAGACTGGCCTGACTGTGTGTGGAGCACACGCCGCTGAGACACGCAGCGAGGTTGCCAGGGGTGGCAGGAGCCAAACTGAGTTTCTGAGCCAAAGCAGACCTCTTGGTTTGCCAGCCTTTGCAGCTACTTGTCAAGAGTACAGCTGCTCCTTGGGTGGTAGAACCATAATCCTTAGGAAAAGTCCTTTCCTTTTAGGAATAAAGAAATCACTGATTTGACAGACTTGCTCTGATTACCATGCAAGTAGCCATATTTTGGAGCTGACCAGGATGATTCTTTTATTTGAACTATTGACCATTTCTTTCCTGTGAGATGCAGGGGATGGAAATGAAATTAAACAGTGCCTGTGGCGAATGCTGCTTCCCAACCAATTAGAAGTGGGAGTGAAAACATCTACACCAGATGTTCGTAAGACAGTCCCATTGTCTGACTGGGGGCGGGGAGGGTGCTGGGGAAATGGGTAGAGTGAAAGCTGGGTGGTGAAAGAATGGATAATGGGGAAAGGAAATAATAAGTTGTTGTCACAAATTAATACTTGTGCCTTTATTAATTGGTCATCATTGTGAGCACACAGGAAGGAAAGGAACATGAGAGAAAGCCTTCTGGGAACTGTCCGAGGTGCTGATGTGAACTAACATATGGAGACTTGCTGGCTCCATCTACCCACCTCTTTCCAGAAAGACTACATATTCAAAGTATTTTTAGTCACAGCATTTGGATATGTAGTTCCTCAATTCTGCAGGAGCTATTTTTGGTCCTTCTCCATGTTTTTACTGATAGCCAAATTGTGATTTTTGTTTACAGCTCCTTATTCTGTCCCCATCGCCAGCCCTGATTTTACCAAAAAAAAGATCTATAATCCATTTAGGGTTTCAAAAACACTTCAGCAAATTAGAATGGCATTTTCCTTCTTTTTTTCTGTTTTTAGCTTGTGAATAATTGGAACAGATAAAACACACACACACACACCAGGATGCATATAGCATAATAACTGGCAGATTTGCCAACAACCCCTGCATATATTCTTGCAGCCTCTGTGCGTACACAGTACATGCACTGTGTGTCCATATAGATTTATTTTAGATCTGTTTCACAGCTTGAGCATTTGTGAAAAAGTGCTTCCTAAGGCTTAACTTTAAAGTCCTTCACTGAAAATCTGAACTACTTACATTTAGCAAGCATGTATTGCTGAGATCCAGCCAACAAGGGTGGTAGGCCATTTTTCCTCTAGTGGAGCCAATATAAAATTCTTTAAAGAGTTTCCAGTCTTTATAATGAGAATTTTTCAGCTCTTCCAACTTAAATTACACTCCCAAAAGAGAGATTTTCCCTTTGTTTTCACTAGTACAAATTACAGTACACACACACACATGCACACAGAGTTACACAAAGATGCAAAAAATCCTTGTTCAAATTCCCCATGCAAATTAATTATAAAATTCTCACAATATCATACATTTAATGAGTGGATGCTAGAAGACTAATTTTAGAAGTGAGAGGTTGAAGTTGAGAGCAAGTACAGTGTCTTGGTTGGCTCCAAACATCTGTCTTCTACTAGAGTTTAGGGATGGGGAATGACAAGCAAGCAGGCGTATTTATAACTCTTATTTAAAATGTAGTTTAATGTAGTTTCTTTTGAAATCTAGCCCCAAGGGATGGTACTTGTTTACATAAGAGAGTTAACACGACCACTCCAAATTATATAGTGTTAACCGCACACACCAACCATCAGCTACTCTTTTATAGATTAGTTACTGATGGCAAGTTATTTATAGCAACACATTAATGACACATCAGTGCCTCACAGAAGACCTGGAGACATTCCATTTAGAAATAATTCACTTGTTACATTTGGATTCCTCTGTCCCTTCTGATGCTTCCTTATTCTTTATGAGAGAGAGAGCCTCAGAGAGCTCCAAGGCAGAAAGTATAAATCTGCTCCTTGTCCACACTGACATCAGAAACAGCAATCTCTCCCACATATTGAATTAGATGCCGTCTTTAGAGTTTCTGGGGCATGGATAATGATCCTGGAATATAACCCCTATAGTCCCACTTTAAGGAAATGTGGTTTTCAAAAATCCAAAATTGCAATGATCAATAAGAAAAAATTTATGTGACAAAATCATATGCAAGGTTTCAGTTTTCAAATTTCCCCAGCCTGTTAAGATATGGTGCTTCATAAGTACATTTACACATAATAGAACTTTTTCAGAGAGTATATTTATTCAATACAGCCCATACTTAAGTCAGGTGGGCCACGCTTAGCTAGACTCATTTCTCCAGGAAAAAAATACTTTTCACAAATCACCCAAAGCAGTTTTGTGGGAAATTATGTAATTAAAAAATGAGGGAAAAATAGATGGGAAAGTCCTTCAAAAGCATTATGCAAACAAAAATTACAATTATTGTCATTGATAGTAGATACTATTGGGACCTCTACAGTCAGATCTCTCAGTTGTGGAATCAGCCTGGCAGAAAAATTCTACTGCCTTGTAGCCAATTATTTTACAGTTATTGTTTTACAAAGAAAAGACCCCTTTTCTCCCAGTGATCTGCGGATCATTGCCTTTCAGCTTGGTCAGACTGTTGAAAGTAAAAGGCTCTCTAACAAGGGAGCACTGGCCTTGAAGTCTTTGTGGGGGTCATCTCCATCTTCCCATCCCTTGCCTCACCCCGAGAGTGCTCAGGGCTCATTCGGTTTAAAGGAGCTCATTCAGTGGCTTATGTTTTAGTTGAGTTGTCTCAGGATTTGATTTGTTTTGTGTACACATACATCAGGTCTCTGCAAAGCGAGAGTTTTGAAGTCCGGTGTATTAAAGAGATTTTATCAGATCTTAGATGATTAAATGAGGTCACTTTTGGCCCACCTTCTTTATGGAGATCTTTTAGTCCACATTCTCAAAAAAATTGAGGCCCTGTTAAGGTTGGTCATTTTTTCAGGGTCACATACCTAGTCAGCATAAGGCCGGTGGCAGGCCTAAGGTCTCCCAAATCTCCACTCAAGGCACAGTCGTCTCTTTGTCTCTAGCCACAACACTGTCATCCCTGGGCCATTCACCCTGAATCAGTTAGCCTAAAGATCACAGAAAATTAGATCCAGCCTTTACAGGACAACAGAAACCTCTTGCTACTATTATGTCACAAAATGAATGTTCCAGATTTCCTTTTATCTGTGGCAGCTGTTTGGGGGTTGAACCCTTAATCTGGGGTCTTTGCCGACTGCATTTTTGCATTCCCAGGTCATTGCTGTGACCCTCAGCAAATGGGAAAGTTAGCAACTCGTCCCCTTTCTGCCCGTTCTGTGAGACTTTTTAGAGCTCCATCTGCTGGGAATAACATTCCAAGGGTCAAAATCAAGCTCTAAACCAGGGGTAGCGGTGGATACCTATAATCCTACCATTCTGGGAGGCTGAGGCAAGAGGATCATGAGTTTGAGCCCAGCCTGGGCAACTTAGGGACTTAGCAAGACCCTGTCTCAAAATTTAAAGATTGAAAAATGGCTGGGGATATAGCTCAGTGTGAAGGCTCTGGGTTTGATCCCCAGTACAAAAAAAAAAAAAAAAAAAAAAAAGAAACAGAAGTCTTGAGTAGTATAAAAGAATTATGGTTATAAAATATTTTTACATAAGATTTCCACCTGCATTTTCTTACTCCAGATAATCTTATAAAAAGTGTAATGCTGTCTTAGTATTGTCTCCATTTTACAGATGACAAATTGTGATCAGAAGAGAGTAAGTGACATATCCATAGACACACAAACAAAAATGTCAAGAGCCAGGATTCAAACTGAGCCCTTTGGCTCGAATCCCCTTACTCTTCCTCTGGGTGCTACTGCTCCTTAATCCCTTCAAAAGAAGGAAAAAGCAAGTCACTTTCACTTAGTCACCAACCCTCACCTATCTATCAAGTGAACTTACTAAAAATAAGAGTGAACACTGCTTTGTTGTTCAGAGAACCTTAGAAAACCCAGAGAGGTCAGCCTGGAGAAATGCGTAGCAGGGGCTATGGTGTGGGTGAGCTGGCTGTCACTCGGCAGCCCCCAGCACAACACTAGTAATTAGTGGAGTAGAAAATCTGCCCTCCTGCTCTCAATACCACAGGTATAAAACCAAAGAGAAAAGCATGTATTCTGCGGCTGAGGTCCCAGCTGAGGCAGGCCCTGCCTTTGCCATCCCTACGCGCAGCAGGCACAGCCTGTGGGGCGGAGGCAGTGGAAACAATGGCTTTTCCAGCCTGGCTTGGCATATTGAACATTCTTGTTAGAATGGAGGGCACAATTAAACATTGCCAAAGCCAGCTCCCAACTGAGTTGCAAAGAAAGATGTAAACACACACAAAAAGACCCACCACACTCACACACTTTTCAAGCTGAAAAGAAAATTAATCAAAAGCCCAGTGAATGCCTGAACTCTATAATTAAGCCTAAGTGATCTTTAGATAGGAAGAGAGCTGAGTGAGCCAGCTTGGTGCACACAGATATTTTTACCTCAGAGTCTTTTTGCCATTAATTTCTTTTGAGATCTTGAGTACATCTGGTTCTGTTCCCTGGTAGGACTTCAACCCATGAAAGGTCTTCCAGAGAGTTGCCAGTTGGTGGCCAGAGGACAGCCAAGGTTATTTGGTCATTGTCAGACACTTTTGTAGTGTCTGGGAGGTGGGGTGGTGTGGCTTCCCCAACCACTGTGAACCTCCCCTCCAACAGATCAAGACAGTCAGATCGTGCCCAGGATGTCAACAGCATCGTCTGGCAGATGACACTGTTGCATTGGTAGAGCCACAGAGCCTGGAGCTGGTTGCGGACCCTCAGGTCCCTTCTACTTGGCAGCCAGCTCAGGGAAACCCATCCATCCTGCCCCTGGAGAGTGGTGGGCTCAGGCTCCCCTCCCAGCCCGCCTTGCTGGATAGGCCTAAACATGGCAGCAACAGAAGGAAAGGAGATCATCGTGCAGACCCACAGGAAGCAGCTCAGGGAAGAGTTTGGGCCAAACTGGAGATCCCAGCATAGTTTCCAAGTTTAATTGGCTACAACCAGGAACAGCTCGTTCTTCCTGTCACAGACTCAGGCCAGAGAGAGAGAGAGGAAAACTCCTTTGTACTCAGAACTTTATGTGGATTTCTATTGGCCTGACTTCCTGTCATTTTGGCTGGGACCTCACAGTTTGGGAGTGGCATAATAAATTTGTCATGTGAGTGCAAAAAAGTGAGGATATACTTCTTGTGACCCTGCACATACTCCAGGCTGTCTCACCACATTGTAGGCCTATTTGGTTATGGCCCCATTCCCTGTAGCCCCACAGTTTGCCTCAGGGGCTGCCACCCCTGTCTCCATACCCCCAATTATGCTTCTGTCCCAGCTGGGCTGGAGTGAGGTCCCTAAGGGCACCTGACCGGCCCTTTTTCCCAGCTCTCCAGGCAGCAGGCAGTGTGGCCAAGCAGGAACCGCTGTTCTTCTCCAGGCCCACATCTGTCCTTGGCAAGCCCAGGAGACGAACGCAGGCTGTTACTTAAAACGGCTGGGTGTTTGGTAGGAAATGCCCAAGGGAAAGAGAGGGCAGATACAGGATTAGAGCAATGATGGGATAGTGCTGAAACATAGAACAAGACCCAGTGCCACACAGACCTCACTGTGGATGGTGAGGGTTACAGACAGTGCCATGAAGTATTTAAATGGTAGCATCTCTGTTTAGGGCCGGTCTCAGGCTGGCTGAGGGCCAGCATCCCTGGAAACAAGGAGGAGATGGAAAGGAGGACAGGACACTTTCCTGCATGCCCGGCCTGGGACTAGGGCAAGCCAAGCGAGGCAGTGAGGATTCACCATGTGAGAAACATTCACTCTCAGGGCTGCACGGACGGCACCCTGGCATTGCATGTCCCCATGGGAGCCGGACTCCTGGGTGTTTGCCTGGATACCTGGCCTGCACCCCTGGCCCCAACCCTGCTACACACCTTGCTTCATCAGAAGAGCAGGGAAAGTGTTGGGGATCCCTCTAAGTTCCTGTTCTTGCAACAACTTTATTGGGGGGGGGCAGTTCTCCATGTGCCACATCTTTGCCCCAGGGAAATAATGCTCACAGGAAGCTGTGGGAGCCATTCATTCCCCTCCTGGGGTCACACATTACAGGGGAGTCCAGAACCTTCTGAAGTGCCTCTTAGACTTCTCTCTATCCATGACATCAACCAGTCTGCCTGGGACCAGCCTGGTCCAGTCCCTTTAGAGCCAGTGAGAATGGGAAGGTGACAGGGCAGGATTTCTTTCAAGCGCTGTGAGCTCTTGCGACAAAAGGTACTGGGCAAACCCAGCAGCCACATTAATATACCCAACACTGGGATGGAAGAGACAGCTGGTTATCTCTCCATCTGCTCATGTCCCTTTGCCCCTACCCTTCAAACCAATTAGAATATTCCACACAGATGTGATCCAATGAAATGTTAATTGGAAAAATAACAGGAAAGATAATACATGCTCTTTGAGCTGAGAACTATTTCATTACACTGAGCTTTGAAAGCAAGACAGCCAATTAAATTATTTCCCACTTCGCTCCCTTACATACCAGGAACTATGGAAAGCTATTACTTCTAATTAATTAGGAAAGAGAAAAAAAGACTCTGCACATGTATTGGATGGACAGGTGCTACACCACCTACCTCTGTGTGCATACCTGTGTGTCTACTTGAGCATGTACACACACACACACACACACACACACACACACACACACACATACACACACACACACCAGGGAACTAAGACTCATCCACTGTCTAACCTAGAGAATTTAATCAGTCTTCCTACATAGCAAGAAAATACTTGGTCCCCGGAATCATTCACATGATCTAACAAAGGAAGATGCCTTCTTTGGATACATTCATTAGTTGAGAAATAGGGCATTTATTGTGAGAGAATAAACAGCTTTAAACTCAGCGTTGGTTGCCAAAAACTTTCTGCAGCCAAAAATTGATCTTAGCTTTTTGTCTTCAGTCAAGTAGAGTGACAGCTCTGGACACCAAATATAATGCTCATTGCCATGGGATGGTCTCATGACCAGGGGACCTGAGATACCTGAGGCCTGATTTTTGAACTGACTTTGTGAAAGTCTTAGGTAGGTCACTATGGGCACCTCCACTTTTCCATCTGTGAAGTGGAAAGAAAGCTCATTCTCAGTGCCATATTCACCCCTTCAAAGTCGTTAGGCTTTGAAAACACACTGACAGTGAGTGCAGAGTTTCTGCCTTCCCTTGGGAAGACTGATAGAATACAGCCATGCAGTTAAAATATGTTTTGTACAAAAAATATGCTAACCCATAGGCATAGTTATTGTACACTACATATAAACAATAAGATAAGGACTAAAATAGTCACATAAAGCAGTCATCCTGGTGAGGTGACTTTGCACTTAGTGTTATCTGTGAGCAGTAGGCAGACTCAGGTTGGCTCAAGACCTCAGCACATGTGTCCCCACACCATATCCCCTCGCTCTCCTGTCGCTACCTTGTCTGCTGGGCAAGATAGGAAGGGCTGCCAAAGGCTAGCACAGTCAGTGCCTCTGACCAGTTCTGACCAACCTCATTATTACAGAAAGGAAACCTGGAACTTATTGACACCAAAGAGTATACCAGCTATCTCAGGGCTCAGAGTATACAGAGGAACATTCCCCAGAGTGCATTTCAGGCTAATTCCTCATTTGTATGTCTGATGGAGTTGTCAGCTAGTTTCAGACCTTTGGAACAAGTGTAATTGACCATCTACATAAGAATTTGGGATTTTTCTTCCTAAAACTGAAACCATGCATATAATGTGAAAAAACAGCAGTGTACCTTAATCTGTCATCATAAAAGGCTTGTGCCATTATAGCAATACATGCTTGTTAAGTAAATCTAGTACATAAAAATTCTAAAGATAAACAGGAAGATGATCATGAAAAGAAGGTGCCCAATGCTTGCTTTACCTAAGATCAACTACCTTCATGCATTAAAAAATACTTGCTAGACAAGTACTCAAATGCTGAGATACACTCCCAGCCTTCCCTTTATTTTTAATTGCCAAAATTCAATTTATCCACTTTAGGGCCACAACTATTATATAAAGCAACATATACAAATACTCACAAAAAAATAGTGGGGCAGCATGTTCTCTTTTTAAACAAAAGTTGATTAGCAGCTTCAGGTTAAACACTAGAGATACCCCCAAGAACCAACTTTCCAGCCGAGTGTGGGGGCACACGCCTGTAATCCCAGCACTCGGGAGGCTGAGGCGGGAGGATTGTAATGAGTTCAAGACCAGTCTGGACTGCATAGTGAAATCCTGGCTTAAAAAGACAAAACAAAACAAACAAGAAGCAAGTTTCCACACATTTGGCATGTGTGCCCATGGTAGGAATACTAGTGAGACTCCACAGCTCTGGAAAATCCAATTCCCACAGATTTCTTTGTGCCTTGCATCTAAGAAGCAAGGCCATGGTGGGGGGCCTGGATTTCCCACCCATTTCTGTAGGGCCTTTTATGTCTAGCAAATGGGTTACACATATAAATGACTTAGAATCCTTTACTATTATTTTAAAGTCTAAGGTCTCCAATCCTTTTTAAAGAACAAGATGAAAGAGGACTATTTATAGAGAAATGTGTATGAAAATACTCAAAATTTTGTGTAAGATTTCAAAGTTATATCCTTGAAGTCTCTTTACAAAGCCCAGCTATAAAGGAATAGCATTTCTTTGGCTGCTGTCTTAATGCCCACTCTGTTTACGTGTTTCTGTGTCCACATGCAGGTCTCCTAATAAGACAAGGCAAAGCCCAGCAAGCAGAACCACATGGCAGAGACTAAGGAGAAGGAAATGAGCACTGGCTGGTGGCTCCAGAAGCTGAAGCCTGGGACAGCTGGTTTCCACTAAATCGAGTGCCATCCTGCCTGTCTCCTCTCCACCCTCCCATCCCGTGACCAGTATCTCCTATCTACCCTACCACGTGCCCAACTGGGCCAGCTGGTTGGCTGGTGGGGAGCTGTGTTGAAGTGGGGGTTGTGCCTGCTGTATTTTTTTTGTGTGTAGAATGATTGGATTCATCCAGACCTCAAGTCCCTCCCAAGCCCACCAAGTGAAGCCTCCCAAGGACAAAGAGCTGGTCAGCCTGGACTTCAAATAGCTTACATGGCCCAGCCTTGGTTCTTAAACCCTGCCTCCCATCCCTATACTCTTGGATAGGAAACCGAGGGAATGTGTGTCTCCCCTCCCCCCAATTCTCCAAGGGTGGCTATTGTTAATAATCTTTTGTGGTGTCTCTAAGGTCTCCAATCCTTGGAGAACCAGAGCCAAAGCAGTGCTTTCCCCTACCATGGCCAGGCTGGGTGCCCCCAGGCGGCCAAGGACAGAGTATGCATCATCAGGATTGGTGGGGCAAGCAGAGAACTACCCTAAGAGAACAAAAATGTTGTGCATTGTTTTATTTATTGATTGGTTTATTTATTGGCATACCTACTGACTTAATTTATTTATGAAATAAGTATTTATTATACAGCAAGAAACCCACTTCCATCCTTGAAGCATCAACCCCAGGATTTGTCTTCTTGGCCCCATAGAGCACAGTGAATTACTCCTCTTTGAAGACACAGGAAAAAGAGAGGAAAGCCTCTCCTTATGCCCAGACAGTTCCATCCCAGCATAGTTTTTCAACCAGAAATGGCATTAGAAACCACCAGCTAGAAGGGCTGTAAAGCCACATGCAAATCAGCACAGGCTTAGCTGTCCAGACCGAAGCTCTCAGAATCCTCCCAACCCACTCCCCTTGTATGTGCCCTGCCCTTCAACTCTTTTCCTCACTCAGGTGGGGCCCAGCCCTCCAACTCCAGCCTGTGCATCAGGACTAAAGTCCTCATCCTGCTTTGGGGCCACATGCTTATCACCAGATGCACATTAGAATCATCCGAGGAGCTAAAAATAGTATCCAGGCCTGATCTCCTCTCCAAAACAGTTACAGCAGAATCTCCAAGGGTAGAGGTTGGGCATCCATGCTTTGTGAGTTCCCCAGATAACTCCAATGTGAAAATAGGGTTAAGTATTTACAGTGTCTTCTGTCCTTCACCCCTCCCCACAACCCAGATCACATCCTCCTGCCATTCCCAAGCTTCCTCTAGAGTCCTCTTCCCATTCCTCCAGCCGACCACCCTGGCAGAGCCCTGGAGTAGTGGCAGGGCCCAGAAGCCAAATGCTGAGAGTGGGGCCTGCTCCCAGGTAGCTGATTTCCAGCTTTTCTAGGAGCAGAAACCTGTCTGCTGCCCAGATTCGACCTCCACCTGCCCCTTCCCCAGTCTCCCAAACTCTAGAAGTTGAAAAGGGCACATTGTTGACATTTCTATCTCAAAGTCCCAATCCTCCTGGTAAGACCGTTGCCAGTTTTTACAATCTAAGGCTTGGCCATTTCTGCAGAGCCATCTCAATTAACGAAAGTTCTACAGGTGACCAAGGAAGTGGGCCCCTTACCCCCAAGCCAAGTCCTTTGCCCCAAAACCTGGCAGTAGCCAACCCACACCCAAATTCTCAGTGGCTGAGAAGAGGCATCTCACCCTTCACATTTATGAGAGCCACACTGCTGAGTGTGAGAAATGTGAGTGAGTGTGTACATGTGCATATACTGTCTACCTGTACACTACCTAGAGATGCTGAGGGCAGCATTTGCCATGAAAACAACTGAGGACTTTGCTGTCTTTAACTCAGTGGAGTTGTGCTGTGTTCAGGATGGGCTCAAGTGAATCCCATATTCTGTATACACAAAGAATATTATAATATATAAAAACTGCTGGGCACACTACACACACACACACACACACACACACACACACACACACACACACAGAGTCTAAAGAAGCCTGTGATGTGGGAAGAGTTCATTTTGTACCCTCTGCCCTCCTCTAAGTAGTTTCCTAGGGCAAGCATTATGTTGCACCCCTCAGCTGCCCGGCCCCTGCCCACCCTTCATTCATCCCACCAAGCCACCTTTCCCATTATTCGTTAGTCACAATGTCCCCGCCCCAAGTCCCATCTCTCAGGGTCCTGCTCTCTGACAGGTGGCAGTTCAGCAGGGGGTGCTAAAGAGTTGAGTGTTAGTCTCCCAGGTGACATTTATGTTTTAAAGGGGCTACAGATAATGCCTTAATCCAGAGGACAGCTGTAGTGGTGGAAATTCCAGGCACAGAAGTGGGCCAGTAAGGGAGCTTATTTTTATCAGGAGGGCAATTCATAGCCCCCACGTCATAGCTGTCTCTCAGATTGGCCCTTATAAGCACGTGGGCACAAGCAAGCACACTTACTGATATAGATATTCCTTAATTTTGAGATACCTCCCTTACATTGGCCCTACCCTTAAAAATTAAAAAAAAAAAAGTTAAATTAATTTAAACCTCATTGGGTAATGTAGCCTATTTCTCACTGAGCACCAGCCATCTGGTCTACCCCACCCTGTTCCAGTTTCTTCCTTCTCCTCCTTTCTGCTACTGCCACATCTATTAATTTGCTTGTACGTGTCTCTCCTTCCCTGTTCTTCTGTGTGTCTATCCTTCCTTGCTTCCCCCTGGAATTGTGCTGTTTGTCAATGTCGTCAAGGACAGAAGAGCAGGTTAAACGCATGAGCATGTGTGTATCGCTTTGAAGAAAGAGAAACCAGGTATTCTGCTATAGTTCAGAGAAAAACCCAACGAAGAGAGAGACGAAAGCTGGCTCTGCAGAGTGCCTTAAAATGACTTTACTTAGGAAATTCTGAGTTGTCAGTCTTTGGATGTTATGTGAACTCAAACAGATGTTGCATTTCACTTCTCTGGGATTAAAAAAAAGTTAAATACAGTATGTATTCAACAATGACAACAAAGTATACTTTCTCTTTAATTTGTTCCTTAAATATGTAGTGCCTGATATTTCACAAAACCTGGGAATGCCCCAGGCACCCAGAAGCTCTGGAACATACAGAGGGTAGAAACAAGAGTCCTGCCCAGCTGGTAAAGCACTGGTGATGTGGGCAGAAAGCTGCAACCAGATGTGATCCAAAAGGCAATTTTACTGTAAGAAAGAAACATCGAAGCCAGGCATGGTGGCCCACACTTGTAATCCCAGCACTCAGGAGGTAGAAACAAGAACCGTCCTTGATTCCAGCCTAAGCTACACAGTGAGTCCCAGACCACCCTCGACCATATATCAAGGCCCTGTCTCAACAGAGAGAAGTGAGAATATCACAACAGAAAGCAAGAGAAAAAAAGGGACCCTCACCCTTCTTTCTGATGAGATTGACTTGTTTTAGTTGTTTGGGTCTTCTATAATGAAATGCTATAAACTTGTGAGTTTATGAACAACGGAAATTTATTTCTCACAGTTCTGGAGGCTGGGAAGTCCAAGAACAAGATTCCTGCAAATTCTGTGTGGGCCCACTTCCTGGCTCATGGACAAACTTCTGTGTCCTAATGGGCTGGAAAGGTGGATAGACTCCCCTGGGCCTCTTATAAAGTCCATGAGCTGAACCATGAGTGCTCCACCTTCATCATCCGAATGCATAGGATTTCAGCACATGAATTTGGGAAGGAGAAGCAAAAACATTAGACCACAAATATTAGAATGTATCCTAGTCTGTGATGAGATGGTATTAAATTGGGAAGAGAACATCCTAGAAATGCAAAGGGTAAACCTTGCCCTCCCATCCCTCCACCAGCACTCTGTCCTGCAGCACCCATAACCAGTGTCCACTCTGCTTTTGCTAATGTTTTTCTCTCAAGACACTGGCCACCTAGCGTCCCATCTACACAGATTATCTTGAAAAATCTGAACTTCTCAATACAGTTGGGTTTCTGTGCTCTCTCTCTCTCTCTCTCTCTCTCTCTCTCTGTCTGATCTCTAAAGGGTTAGACTCCATCTAGGCAGGAGTGGGAGGGACATCCGATGTGCACGTGGATTGTGAGAACTCTGCTGGGGTGAGACTAAAGCCGCAACTCTGTGGGCCTCAGCTGTCAGCGTCTGCGCCCTCCTGCCTCTCCCCACTGCACATCTCTGACCCAGCCCTGCCGCTGTGGACGCCAGGGCTGTGCCGCTAAGTGCTTGGTGTTATCCAGCTAACAGCTGCTCGCTCTACTGGGCCTTTTATTCAAATCTATCATGGCTATTTTCCACAAGAGATGTGACCCTTCTGTGGGGTCAGCAGTTTTAAGAGAGCTGAGAGTCACTAATTCATTCTCTCTCTCTCTCTCCCTCCCTCCCTCCCTCCATCGCTTCCTCCAGTCAAACAAGAGTAAGGAGACTCAGATACAGAGATAAAGTAGTTTCTACTCCTAAAAAAATATACTTAAGGACCTCTGTCATGCACTTCATGGGGTGAGGAGGGTACTTGTTAAACAGTTTTATTTATAACCTAAGATCCCCCACCCTCCCCAAGTCAACCAAGCAGCATGTGCTCAACTCGGTAGGAAGCAGCTCCACTGGCACCATTTAGCAACGGGATCCTGCATCTTCCCTGTCAGAAACCTGACCTGAGGCACACTCAGGACATTTGTGCTTTCTCCTTAGTTGGCTCATTTTAAGTAATAAGCAGTATACCGGTGGCTGCTGTAGGGCTGCAGTGCCTCCCTGCGCCTGCTCAGCTCTAAGGTGGAGCAAAGGGTGGGGGATGTGGTGGCAGCTGAGGCACCACAGATATGAGTGCTGTTTCTCACAAATTGTAAAGTTGCACATTAAACTCTGTAATGGTTTAGGACAAGGAACAAAAATGTGTCTGATTAAAAAAACCAAAGTATTATACATTTCAAGATATTTGAGGCTCAAAGACAGAATATTCAAACATAGCTCTATATTTATTGTTATTTATATGAAGAAACAATATGGCCTGCCTGGTCAGCTTGGGTTGCAAATATGATCACATTTATTTTCTAGATGAACTATTTGACTCCTCTTAGACTCAGTGAGCCAAAACAAGCAGAAGCCAGAAATGGAGCACACCTGTAACCCCAGCTACTCAGGAGGCTGAGGCAGGAGGACTGCAAGTTCAAGCCCAGCCTGCATAATTTCAGGAGCCTCGGTCTCAAAGTAGAATTTGGAAATGGGCTGGAGATGTAGCTAAGTGGTAAAGTGCCCCTGAGTTGGATCCTTAGTACTGAAGAAAAAGGAAAAAATAGATACCGAGCAGAAAGAAAGTGGCCATTGCCTGAGGGAAGACAGCAGCGTACTGCAGCAGTGATGTCCAGGACAGGAATTGCCAGTGTTGAGCGTGATGCTCTGCCTGCTGCTCTCAGAGTACAGCAATGCCAAGGGACCTGGGACTGGATCACACCAGGCCAACACCTACCTCCTCTCCCGTGCAGTAACTTTGTCACCCTTCCTGGGCTCTGAGCCCAGCTCTGAGCCCCCTGGTGACCCTAAGAGGCAGCCCAGCCTTACACCCAGGAGGGGTGGAGCTCTAATTCTTCACCTCACAGCAAGTCCCACATTCTTTGTGCAGGTTAACTCATTTCTCTCACACCCCACAGGTTCTCATTCTTTTCCTTGGAACCTTGTATTTGCTAACTAGAGGAGGAGCAGGACTTCTTATTTCAGCAAATACTTACAAAGGTACTGCCAAAGAAACAGAATTCCACCTCTCCCTCCCTCCCTTTTGCCTTTCCTCCCTTCGTCTCTCTTTCTCATGCCTATTCTGGTGGGGGCAGAGATACACAATAAACATAATAAATAAGGAAACTGTATACTTAGGTAGTGAGAGGTACTACAGGAGGGAACGAAAAGGCAGCTCAGAGGACCCAGGTGGGCTGGGAGAGTGTTTCCCACATGATTTTCTGCCTGAGTTATATCAAAAAGCACCCATCATGTGCATTTACTAAAATAACACTGATAATAATTCTGACCCTGGTGGACACCGCTCAGGTCTCTGCATTCATGGGCACCCTGTTCCTCGAAAGCCTTCAGAGCTCCTCTTCATAGGTTGCAAAGCTGAATCAGGTTGATTGTCTCCTACCATTACAACTCAGGGAGACCCCATTTATTTCTTTCAACTGAAACAAGTAAAGTGACTTTTCCAGGGTCATGGAGCTGCTAAGTGTCAGAGGATCCCAGGACAGTCTCACTGACTCCTCTGCATGATCTTTCTCAATCTACTTGTAAATAGCATAACGAGCCACAAAGCCAGAAGATCTAAAATTGAGATGCAGCATTGCCTTCTAGTAGATGGAAAAAACCTTGAAATGTCCCCTGCAGACATAAGACTGCCTGTGGAATTACATTATAAATCATAAGGCACAATACAAATGTGAGGCTCTGGGGCAACCCAGCAAGCTGTCTCAAAACTCCGCTTACCTACTCACTATCTGTGTGATTCATTAAGTAAATAAATATAATTAAAAGGAGTTATTTTTATTACATGTTGCTCACAACTCCCAAAACATTCCCTACTCAAGTTGGAAAAATTAAAACAGTATATATTTTCAGTCTATAAACTAATTACTTGATTCAAAGCAAGCCCTCCTTAAAATGTTCATTAAAAGCAGGTGCACAATTAGGGTAAATGGCTTGAAGAAGTGCGGGTGGGTGGCCCTTGTTATAAACCTCCAAGCACTCCCTGTGTACTGCACAAGTGTGGGGAAAAGGACATGGGTGTGATAGATCCCAAAGCTGTAAGTGTGACTGTGAACAACCAATTGGATTGATTGTCGTATTCCACACCTCTGCTCCCTCTTATTCCAGGCATCAGACAGTGCCCACCAGGGAGCAGTATGTGTCATGTTGGCCTGAAATGCAGCTGATCCTGAGTCCATCAGTCTAAGCTGCTAAATAAGACAACTGTGAATCTGGGAGTGCTTAGGAGTCAGCTTTAAGAGGAGAGGCAAATGCTACCTTCTGAAAAGGTTCTGAAATCCAGCTGCCTATTCCTTGTGCATCTATATAAGGACTGTCTTGCCTATTTAAAAAAAAAATCTATAAAAGTAAAAGTAAAGCACAGCTTCATTGAGCTGCCAACTATCACCTGCTGTCTTCTCTTTGTGGTCAGCACAGGAGGTGCTAGACCAACAAGGAAAGACAAGTAACCTCCTCACCATCCCTCCAGGTTAGGGGTGGACAAAAACGTCCTTTCCCTGCTCCGCTCCAACAAGAATCCAAGGGAAGTTAGATAAAACTACTCAAAAGACAAAGATACCTTAAGGAGCCCATGTTCAAAATGAAGAGGGCCAGCTTCATTTTCAGGCAGAGAATCTCAAGGTTAGAGAATGAACCAGGTAGAAGATGAAAGTGTTACCCCACTTCTGACCCCCAGGCCAGGTTCTTTTTCCCTCTCTCAGAATTATGGAGCCAATAGCAAGATCACGCCCCAACAGAGCAGAAATGGGTTTTATTCTTGCCCAAGAATAAGGGAAGTGGGAGAAAAAAACTCACAAATCTACTTCCCTACCTACTAGGGCTCAGGAGATTATAGATAGAAGGTAAAACAAATAAGGAGGAGAGAGAGGTTAGAAAAGGGAAGGGATATTCATGTATTTTCCAGGAATTCAGGCACCACCTCTCTTTTGCTCCTTTTATTAATTTTTTCTGGTTGCAGTCATGGCAACAGCCATGGCTCTGGGAGGAGCATCATTTAGCATGCAGCTGAGGTTATAAAGAAGTTAGATGCTGTCTCTGGAAGTCTTCTGTGCATCCAAGTGGCTTCAGCTAGCCCACCTGAAGTGAACACTTTGTAGGCATCTTGATAAGCAAGTTGGGCAGGGCAAAAATTCAGCTAGGTGAAGTAGGCAGCACAAGGTGAGGGTGGGGTAACCTAAGGACTCCAGGAACAAGTAATCAGAGTCTCCAGACAAAAATTTTCAGTGCCCAGCCTAACTGACACAGAGGATAGTTTAAATCAA